TAGCTTCCTAGTACTCAAGTCGGGTCCGACCTGCTCTTCCTTTCGAGTTATCACGTGGTCGACTCTGACGTGCCGGCCTTGTATCTAAGTGAACCCTAATCGAATTCCGACTTGTGCATGGTTATGGTTACCCGACCTACTTGCCTCTTCATACTCAGTTTTTTCACAAGCTCGGCTTCAGGTAATTCCAAGATGTGCATAAGCCCCCTAGTCACGAGGTTTTATTGTATTGAAGTGTTCAGACAAGATAATCTTGGAATTCCCTCTTCTCTAGATCGGCCTCCTACTCGACGAGTCACTGAAGTGTTAGTTGTCTCAATGATGACAAATTTTTCTCTTTCCTCATCGTGATGGTTTTTATGGGAACTCTCATTTGTCATCATTACTTTTTTGTGCTATGAATTATTGACTGTTATAAACTTATTTAAAATAAAAGGAGTTTTGTCATTTCACTTTGATTTTTACCAAAGTTAGTGATCTTCTTCCCAAGCAGTGTGGACAAAATTCTACTTCGTTCATCGCTCGATTCTTTTGCTCTCTCAAGCCCCAGGTATCGTTTTTTCTCCCATTTTCACTCTTTTTTTGGGCCACGACCTTTGATGATGGATAGAGTGAAAATTGATGGCATACCACCTTTGGATCAATCTCAGGCTTGTCGAATGGTTTCCACGCGAAGAGATTGATGTTGTCTCTTAACATGTTGACGATCTCTCCCTCTTCTTGGGATAGCCCCAATCTTATTTGTGTGACTTGAAAACTTTCAACACCTATCTGTATCTTTTTCTCTTCTCCTATTAGAACCAAATTATCATCAACTGGATCACCTTGAGGGTCGAAGTCTACCAGGTGGTCGAGATTTACCAAGTTTACCTTCAAGGTGTTTTCTGTGACCTTATGCTCCTGTAGGGTTTTATTTTTCAACTTTAAATTGTCTTTGTAACACTTCATGGCTAATCTATGATCACCTTTAATTGTTCATATTTGTCTGTCTTCTAGAGGATACTTCATGGTCAAATAAAAGGTGAACAACACTACCTCAAGAGCATTGAAAGTAGGTTTCCCAATGATGATATTGTAGGGTGATGATGCGTTCACAATCAAATATATCACCTTCACGCTTTTTGCATTACTTCCACTTATAAAGGTGGTCATGATAGGCACATGACGCAATACCTGAACCTGCTCCCCGAAGAATCTGACTAGAGTGCCCTTGAAAGGTAGCCATTTGGTCGTGTCCATGCCCATCCCCTTGAAGGCCTCCCAGTATAACTTATCGATTGAACTGCCCAGATCAATCAGCACTATCTTGACGCTCCAGCCATTAATTTATACCTTTATGGCCATGGAGTCGTTTCCGTGTGTTAGCATTCCTTCATAGTCTTGTCTTGAGAATCCAATGATGGTTGGTTTCTCCTCCCTTGCAAATGAAGAGCTCTGTGACACATGCATCACTGATTAGGCATGTCTTTTACGAGCCGAGCTTGTCTCTCCTCCTCCTGCAAAGCCTCCCAAGATGTTATTTTGCGTGTGTTGTGCCACCCGTGTTTCACGTACTTCTTTAGTGTTCTTCCCTTTTTCGGTGGAAGTATTCTCTAAAGTAGGTCGTCTTCTGGATGGACTTCTTTTTCCTACTGATCCTTCTGGTTCCTCACATATGCTAATAGCCGACCTCTTAGGGTTAGAGTTTCTATTTCTCTCTTTAGGTGATGGCATTCCTTTGTATGGTGACCTCTAATTCAATGGTAAGCACACCATGCTCGTGTATCGTTCCCTAGTACAACATTGAATTTCCTAGGTTGATACGGCTCGGGTATCACTTTGAGATGATACAGTTCCTTCAAGATTCCAGCCCATTTTATATTGAGAGGTGTATAGTTCTCATAGAAATTGTCATAGGATCTCCGAGAAGGTCTCATCGTTGATATATCTCTTGGGATGTGTTTTTGGTGTTCTCTCTTGGACCCGGATCCTTCGTGTTTGGATTGTTTTTCTTCTTTAACATCCTAGAACATGTTTCCATGTTTCTCTCCTTGCCTTTAACATAACATTTTGCGGTGTTCATGATCTCCTTCATGTTAGTAGTTGGCTTCCGTGCCAATGAACCGTTGAAGTGATCGGCCTTCAATACATTTTGAAAAGCTCCCACAAACATCTCTTAATTAATATGAGAGACTTTTATGGTTTCTTCATTGAACATCATCATGTATTCTCTGAGGGACTCAGAAGCCCCCTGCTGGACATTGAATAAACTGGTGGTAGTCACCTTTATATGCTTGTTGGCAGAGAAGTGTTGAACCATTTTTTTGTCAGGTCTTGGTAACTAGTAATTGACAGTTTATGAAGAATTATATACCAAAGTAGAGCCACGTCTTTGAAGGTTCCTTCCATGAGTTTTCACTTCAAGGAGTCAGACTCTGACTATTGACATTTGACTGTTGAGTGATATTATGTATTCCTGAGGATCATTTTTGCCATCAAAAGATGGCAAAGTTGGCGGCTTGAAATTCTATGGAACTTGGTTATTCCAAATCATTTTTAACAAAGATTGAGGATCAAGGAGTTCTTCCTCATCCTCCCCCTCCTTTGTACTTTGTGATTGTTGCAAAGTGTGAACACTTTCTTGCAGATATTCATTCTGTTGATGTAGGTTCTCCATAATTGCTAGAAGATGAGTCATGTCTAGGGAGAGTGTTCCTCACTCCTGCTGAGAGATAATCTAGACATGGTATTGATGTTATGCGATGTATGTGTTTCGTATAAGGCCTAGGAAGTTTTTACCGAGGCCCCACGGTGGGCGCCAAATGTTATTGTCAAACACTATTTGAAGAAATCTCCCTGAAGCTAGTCAGGAGAAATCGTAAGGGTCTTATGTGATTAGGAGGATTTCTAGTAGTTGTCATTTTGTCATGGGTTAAGCTTCCTTTTATTATGCTTCATTAATCAATGATTCTTAAAGGTGTGACTTTCACATCCTTTATAAAGTGATTATGCTTAACGTCCGTCGTCTACTGTAATTGTTAGATAATGCCTTGTCCATTAATTTTTGTAACCCTCATGCAATCATGGAGGCATTTTGTAATCGTTCTTCATGATCGTCCATATAGTTTCCTAGTACTCAGTTCGGGTCCGACCTACTCTTCCTTTTGAGTTATCATGTGGTCGGCTCCGACGTGTCGGCCTTGTATCTAACTGGACCCTAATCGGATTCTGACTTGTGCATGCTTATAGTTACCCAACCTACTTGCTTCTTCATACTCAGCTTTTTCACAAGTTCTGCTTCAAGGAATTACGAGGTGTACAACGGTAAAAGGAGAAACAAAATGGAAATTGAATATCAAGAATAATCATGAACAGAAATAAGATAAATGACATTATATATACCCACCCTGTGTGTTGGAATACATATTTCCCCAGAGGAAATGATATTAATCTCACAGTTATCAACCAGAGGTTTCGTTTCAGATACAAGTCACATTGATCCTGCAAATAAATCAGCATTTCAATCAATAATATATTTACCTCAATCATTTGATGAAAATGGAAGAACAACAACCATGTCAAGCTACGGGAAAAAAAAAAGTCATTTGTATACTCAAGTGAATATGTTTCACAACATAATATGTAGCAGAATATTCTGTCATAAATTTTGAAATTGGAGTGTGGCTCAAAAATATATAAGTTGTGTGTACATGGATACCTCTAAAGATGCATCTCCAAAATCTAATATATTTTATGTCCTAATTAATTCCCTCTCCAAATGTTAGTGAGGGGCAGGTCATAACCTTAAGTTACTAAAGAGGTACAAATGATGAAGTAGGTACAAATGATGAAGTCGTATATGCGTTAATCCATATGCATCCTTTTAATACTCCATGCCCTGATGAATTTCAAAGGATTTTCTTTAAGAAATATTGGCAGATCATAGGTGAGGATACTTGTAGCCTTATTTTGCAAACTTTCTCTAGAGGCTGCTTTAACTCTGCCTTGGCCTAAACACTTATATTCTTGATCCTCCAAGTTAATTTTTCTAAACGTATTAAAGTCATTTATAGCAAATGCATTAAAAGAATCAAATATATACTAATAATTTATGTTTTGAAATAGAAAAGAAATAGGACAAGTCAATTGAAGTTTTGAAAAGTTTGCAAGTAGTGAGAAAATGTTGGAGGGCTGTCGTGGGGAGATTTGGATTCTTCATCCAAAATGACAGCAAAGTTAACTTAGGCCACTCAAACATGTATCTGACTTTAATGTATTCGTGAATCATTGGAGTAATTTAGAATCTGTGTGGTGAAGTGTACCGAAAACAAGAGAGTGACACGTCTACAGTGGATAACCTCAGCCAAATAGTTTGCGACAGTTGTGTAGTAGTTGTGAAAGGGACAAAAAGACAAACACATCTAATAAGAGGTAAAAGTTGACTTAATGACAAGCATATTGCAGCCAACAGCCGTCGTACTTTTACATAGGAGTATCATCATGCAATGGTTGAGTCAAGTAGAGTGGACATGGGGTTCACGTGCGAATGATTGTAAAAGGTGGTCACTGATCCCATTTGCTTGGCCTTGGTTACCACGTGCTTTTCTGTAGAATCCCAATTTTCTGAAAACGAAGTTTTACCCAATAGCCTCGTAGAATTTTATTTTCGGTCCCATTATCTTGACAGATATTCACATCTCTATGAATCTCAAATAATATTAGAATTAAGATAATAATAAAATCACATTATATTTTATTTTTATTAAAAGAAATAAAACATTTAACTCTGTTCTTAATTTGTTTGATAAAAAAATTTAATTCAGACTTAAGTCATTTAAGGTGCTCAATAATTTAGTCAACAAACAAGATTCATACAGTTTTTTAGCATATAGTAGATTAATTGATCTAGAAAATATCTACATCAACCTATGAATTAAAAACAAATCAACACCAATATCACTGGTGGTATTTGTCCTATACCAGCACAATCCTCAACTATATTAGTTTGATGACAGAAAATATCAAGCTTGTTTGTAGTGGGAGTCATCTATAGTGGAGTATACCAGACCATCATCTTCAAGAGCTTTTACAGACAACCTGGCATCATGAACAGATTTTAGTTTAAATTATAAGCAAATGATTTGCATACTCATGACAAGACAATAAAAATAAGAGAACTGACTTGATCCTATCCAATGGAAGCTTGAGCTCTCTTGCTAGTTCTTCAACATGTATTCCCCTTTCATCTAACCTGCAATTTATAACAAAATTCAACATTTCTCAGCATAAGATAAAAACTCACATAAGTAAAATATAGTTGAAAGATGGAGAATATAGATATCCTACTTGAAACCACTAATGAAAGGTAATACTTCATGAGACTAAATGTTTTCTGAATTATAACAACTCACATGCTTGAATGCTGCTGCAGATAGTCAATCACTAATTTATCACAGTCCTTGAGTGCATCAGTGCTATATTGTGTATATCCCTGAGGTTGGGAATATTTTATCAGCAATCCAATCATACAAAAAAAAAAACAGTGACTTACATCAAATGTCATACCAGATTAGATGGTGCCTGAGATCCATTCAGTGCACTTTTGACAGGAGTGTTCATAGACGGGTTTGATGGAGGATATGTAGAAGGGGTTCCTTCAAACTATAACCCAAAACATAAAAGCAAGGCATTACGTTAAATTACATATTTGCCTACTTAAGCAAGGTCCAATGTAATCTTACAAATGGGTTCTAAACATTTATTTAAATTCCTAAAGTTTAATAATATAGGAGTAACTGAAAATATTCTGATAAAATACAAGAACTACATGTACCTTAACTTTGGCACAGAGGTGGCTATGTATGCAATCTATAAAGTGAAAGGGGATCTCATCAAAATTTGTCACAGGCCTGTGAAATACCAAGTATGAAATAACCATGAATAAAAGAGTAGTGTAATATATTTTTTCATAGTGAAACATAAGCACAGTAGTGTAATATACTCTAGAAGAGCCAATTGATGTTCTTATCAGGATTAAATATGAGTTAAATATTCGGCATACTTATTTTAGCACATATTGTTTAAGTTCATTCACACTGACTAAAAATTGGAAGAAAAAAAAACAGAACATGAAATTCTGAAAAAAAAAAGTCAATTATGTAGATAATTTAGAAACCAGAAGCAATCAAATTTGAACCTGATAAAATCCCAGCTGCCAAGCAGGCAGATTCATTTTAATAACCAATAACAGAGAGCACTAAATGATATGTTTAATGAAAAAATGTTGACATTCAATAATAGGTTTTTATGCTTTAATTATTTAATCTATTTTGTATTCCCTAGCTTGAACTATCGGTATTCCTTAACATGAATTTTCGCAATACTATTGAACCCTGACAGAGCACCAAAACGGGACAGGCAGGCACATTAGACCTACACCCTAGGTCCACCCTACACTAAGTGTGGGCAAAACGGGAATGGCACCCTTAACTATAACCCATAATTAGAATGAATCCAGATAAAACCAAACACAAATATCTAACACAGGATAGCACAATTTTCTACAAATGAGCACCCTAAAAGTTGGAAACAGGTGTACACTCAAACACCCAAACACATTCTAGAACTAGCCAATTCACTTACAATATAGCTTAGATGATGATGTAAAAAAAAAGCTTTCACCTTGTGGATAAGGTCCTTGAACTAGTGGTGATGGGAGTATGTGTTATCAAAGATTCAGAAGAGAAAAACAAGTCAACTGAATATAAAAAGCAAATAAACAGACATGGCAGAATTTATAGACATAAAAATGAGTCTGGCCAACATGCCTGACAGAGAAGGCACCAAGCTGCTTTACACCTTGAAAGCTCTTCAAGTTCCCATAAACACGAACATACATGCCATTCCTGCCATTGAATAATTGAATAATCAGAGAATAATCAGAGAAGGTGAGAAATATCACATACCAAGACTTATAAGTAAATATCATTTGCATACATAATTAATAATTGAATAATCAGAGAATAACCAGAGAAGGTGAGAAATATCACATCCCAAGACTTATAAGTAAATATCATTTGCATACATAGTTAAGAACTTACAATACTTCCTCCATTTCCTTTGTGTCAAAAGTCTCGTTGACCCTAATTGAACAACCAAAATAAAAATTAAATCTAATTTACACAACATGTGTGAATAAATCTCCTAAATAACTCTTTAGAAAAGAAACATAGTATCATTTAACATGCAGCAAGTACCATCTTCGGCATTTGATACGCCCAGTTCCATCATCCAAAACAAAATTAACATCAGTGTTCCTTTCAACTTTCTCATATACAATTCCAACCAAAGTCACCTGAACCAAAATACATGATTAATTAGATGCAAATCACATTGTGATAAGACAAGCAGCATGATTGTACTATCACAGATCCACGAAAACAACTAACATAAAAAAAATAACAAAACAAACACAATTCACTAGTATCATATCACAAATCACAACCAGTAAATTAACAAATTAAGCAAGTATAAAGCACTAAAATAATTTCAAATAAAAAAAAATAACCGTACATTAGTGAGATCCACGCCGTTGATCGCGAAATTGGACTTTTCATCACCGGATTGAGAAGCTTCACTGATCTGCTTCACTGTAACTGGAACTAAACCCTGAGAATCGCGGCTCTACAAAGAAGAAAACAAGCAACACAAACACAAAACTAGGTGAATTGGTATAGTATAAAGCAAAAGCTATTGATTTTCCATCAAGCAAGATGAGAAAGATAGCTTACCTTAGTCGGTGCCGGAGAAGATTCATTTAGTTGCGAGGACGTAAATCCGCCGCCGGAGAAGGCGTTGGAAGAGTCAAATTGAGAGCTGGAGAACATTTTTGAAACCCTAGAAAGAGATATCGTAAAACGAGTGAAGTGTGTAACCGCTAGAGTTAGAACAATTTGTGAAAAAGGCGTGAATATAAATTAGAAAAAGGGATTGTGTTGTGGTGTTAATTTTTGTTTCCCGCCATTAATGCCTTCGATTTTTCCCGCGATTTAGGGTTTCAACTTTGGGCTTTTCCCTCTAATATTATATCGCTCTCTCTTTTCTTTCTTTTTTCAAGATTATTAGTTAATTAATATATTTATTTTATTTTTTCTGTAATTTGTTATATTTATTCTATTTATTTATTTAATAATAATCATTTTATTAATTTAATTTTTTTATTAATTTATTATATCTATTTATTTAATAATATGATATTGTTGTTTTTAATTAATAAAAGTAAAAGTTGTTAACTAATTTATATATTGACTGTGTTTTTTAAAAAAAAATTAACAATTTAATAATATGTATATATAAAAAATAAAAATAAATATCATATTTAAATTATAATCCTATAATTTCTTCTATCAAAAATTTTCACCAAAAAATTATAATATATGACATTTATAATTATTTAAATAATAATTATTAACTTTTAAAATATTAATAACTAACTAAATCATAAATAATAACATTAAAAATATTGAAAATCTCCACCTCCATCTTTATGGTTGCTTAATTAAATAAAACAACTTATAAAAAAAACACCCCACGTTTTCAACTATTTAATTAAATAAAAAAACATAACTTATAAAAAAAAACATCTCACGTTTTCAACTATTTAATTAAATAAAAAAACATTTAAATAAAAAGTTTTTAAAATAAGAATGTCAACCTTCATGTTTTAAATAACTTAACCAAATAAGTAAATTTGAGAAAAACATCAACTTGGTTGTTTAAAATGACAACCTTCATGTTTTTAATTATTTAATTTAATAATTAAATAAAAAGTTAAAGAAAAAAATTCACGCCAAAAAATAGATGTGTAACCCACTATAGCACCAAATTGATTATACGTATCAATTTATTTTAATTTTTAACTTTTTTTCCTTGTGATATATCTACTTTAATAAAAAAAAATTAAAATACACACGGTAACTACTATCACTACTCTACTATACGGGTGGATAAAAAATCGAGATTCGACCGAACCCGATTCATCCATTGAAAAAATCAACTCTTTGGATTGTTTATTTTGAACCTATGAGTTTACAAGATGCTTTATTCAGTTTAGAACATATGTGATCGGTCGAAATCGGATCCAAAAATTCCATCCGATTAAAACCATCATCGACCAAAAAAATTTATTTATTTCAATTTGTAGGTTGTTGTATATGTAATAATTATATGTGTAGTTGACTAGATGACACAGCATCTCATCAACTTAATCTTGAGACACACAATTGGCTAGTACTTTCATGTGACCATCACTATTATTATTTTTTAGCTTAAATTTATTTTTTACCTTAATTACTTATAACTCTATCTTCTCATTTTTTTTAAGAAAGTGTCATTGAGTTTCACTTTTTTTCTTCTCGCAAAGAGAGTCATATTTCATTTTTTTTTATCTTATTCCTTTCAATAACTAGACCACCATTAAAGCATCTTCATTTACTCTCTTAGTTTTTAAAACAAGAAGACATATATTTGAATTTACACTAAATATACCTTTAAGCTTATCAAATTTTGTCAAAGCACATCTTTTATCTATCCACATCTAAATAGAATATGTCTTCATATAAATTAATTTTGTCTTCATTTCTGTAGATCTACTTCACATTCTCAGTTTGTTTGTGTGGTGTTTGAGTTTTTATGTTGGTTTTCTTCACTACAATTTATTTGCTTCAGACCAGACTATCTGAATCGCACAACTGTCGAAACCGAAAAAACAAACTCAAATCTAATCAAAATTAAAACAGTCGAGATTGGCCCACCATTTAAGACCTGTGGGTTGTTCCAATTTGGATATTTGACCCTAAATTCGTCTGAACCCGACCATTTGTCTAGTCCTACCCCACAACCTCACCTAATTGTCGGTTTTTCTTTTCTAATTTTATTTTATTTTTATTTACTCTCACTCTTCCTACATCTTTTATACATCATTTTTATTCTTTCTCTTTCTAAGAAATTAGTAGGATATTTGTGCGTTCGTACGAGCACAGATGTGTTACGCGCATTTATTTTTAAAATATAATAAGAATGTAAAAAGAAAAACAATTTCTTTTACCAAAATAGTTTATTATTTTTTGAAAAAAAGACAAATTTTATTTACCAAAATAATAACACAAATAAACATATTTTGTCTGTATTTGGATTTATACATTATTTTAAAGATTTTTATTTTTATTTTTTTAATTATACAAAAAAATATAATAATCTGTGCGTAGCAGTCCGCACATTTGTTACTGAGATGTAATAAAAATAAAAATAAAACAGAAAGAGAAAATTATTTAACCAATAAAGTTTATAATTTTCAAAATAAGAATATAATATTATCTATATTTGGAGCATAAATATAATTTGTCCATATATACAAATATTTGGATCCGTTATATATTTTAATGTAAATATTAATTTTGTTTTTTCCATTATTTATAGAAATATGTATACAATCATTCGATTTTATAAATATAAACTAATAACATATTATTTATAAATATTATTTTAATTGTATAAATAAACACATTTTATTTGTGTTTGGATTCATACATTATTTTAAATATATTTATTTTTATTTTCTTTAATTGTACAAAAAATGTAATTGTAACGACTCATGTAATATATATCTAGAATAATATCATATAAATGTTATTATTTGGTACTCACACCATCATAAGTGTCTATTGGCATCATTTACATACTTGACAATTTTACAAAACATAAAGGAAATAACATATGGTACAAGATATGAAAAGTGACAAATAAAAATCTAAGATCTAAGTACAACATCATTCATTGTACATAACACATAGCGGAAAATTATCACAATATAAGTTTCCATTAAAACATCCATACACAACTCTTATTGTATACTAAACCTGCAAACAACACCTGAAAAATAACAACAATAATGGGGTGAGTCAAAAGGGAAAAAAGGATAAGACTTGAGTTCACAAAACTCGCAATGTATAGAAATATGACTCTTGAGTTCATCAACTCAAACAATCATTTTTCGGAAACCATACGAATGCATTTTTCCTCGTCTGATCTTACATTTAGGACTCTTGGCACGGGTCATAGATTCTTGTATCATACTTTGACATATGAATGTGTTCGAATTCTAAGGGATAACTGTTAAATGTAATTCATAGTGTGTCGAAGTCGAAATAGCAAGGAAGCAGTCGAAGTCTAAATCAGGTGTCGAAGTGTCGAAGCTTTCAGTGTGTCGAAGCAGTTTGTTTTGACACATATTTGTTTTGATGAGATTTGATATGATTTATATTTGATTTGATTTTGAATATTTTGGGTCTTTTATGTTTTGGGCTTTTGTAAACCTAAAACTATAAATAGGTGTTTTGCTTTGTAATCAAATAGAACAGATTTCACAGTTGCAGTTGCAGAGTTTAGCAAGTGAAAGTTCAATAGTAATCAGAAATCCCACAGTTTGTGGGTAACACAATTTTCTCTAAATATTTATTCTCTCATTCTTCTCTTTCTTACTGTTTGTTTGCTATTCTTCTTCTCTTTTGTTGCTCTTGATAACTTTCTACTTGTTATCACCATTACTATCATATTGTGGGTTTGTTCATCAATCTTGAGATTAAGATTGAATGGAATTCTTCATAGGGTGTGAGGTGAATTTCGAACAATAACATCAATCTTACGAATGGTCGCTTCCTACGGGACTTCCAACCCATTTCAAACCTTTTACCCGTAAGCTTCATTCGCTTATGTGGACTCAAGCCTACCAAAGTAATGGTGTGTACATCCCAAATGAGCTCTACATAAGCATCACTCTTTGGACAACACGAATAGGGGGTTATTTCTGACTATGTGATAAAATATAACATAATGTGATTGTATTCGACGATCACAAGGTGATTACATTCACCTTAATCACAGGATAACAACATATGTTCCATACAATGAATCACACTCATAATTATGGTAAGCATTCATCTATGACACTCACCTAGGTGTCATATTGCAACAATGTCACCTAATAGTGTTGTCTAAATCATGCTTGTAACCTAGTTATCTTTTTAATTCATTTACCTAGTTATAAGCCTAAGTTTCCTCACTCGTCTTCATAATGTTTTAAGCATGTTATTACACAACCAATACAATCACAAGACCAAGCATAAATTATGAAATGTATCACATAAGCAAAACAACAATATATAACATATATTAACATATAATTCATAAACATGCATATTGCTATCTCCACCAAGAATCCTTGGTTAATTCATGATCTCACAATAAATAGGACTTTCGAAGCCAAGCTTTTCACCAAATAGGACTTTTGGAACAAAGGTTCCTCACCAAATATAAAACCAATTCTCATGGTGTTCGTCAAAATACTAGGCGTTCATCTTTACCCATTCACATATTGTTCCACGTTTATATCAACTCATTACTGATCTATTAATCAATAACATATCTATATTCCTACTTTCTATCACTTAGAGCATTTAAATAGCTACCAAACACTTTCGATTGTACCTTAATCCGAGTTACGTTTCTCAAGTTATATAAAAACAAGAAATAGAATATTTACACCCGTCATGGTCGCTCAGCGAGCAGCCAACGAGGTTGGCTCGCTTTTAGTTCGCCAGGCAAACCCCAGGCGAGATACAGACAGAACAAAAAATGCATCATGATCGCCAGGCGAGACATCAGTGAGGTAGCTCACTTTCTATTCGCCAAGGCTCACTCGGCGACGCTAGTAACAACACAGTTCACTAAAGCTCTCCCAGCGATGATGACAAAATTCATCTCGCCCGACGACTTAAGCAAAACTCAAAATCTGCATAACGTAAACTGAAGGTAAACATGGCCAATATCC